GGGGATTCGAACTTTAAACCTTTGGTTTTGATACTATGTTAACGTTATATTTGTTTAATAAACATTTCTTGGCCAAATATTTAAGAAACTTAGGGTGCGTTTGGTTTAATATTCCTAACCATATTCCCAATTCTATTCCTAAAATATTTGTTTGTTTAATTATTTAGGAAATATTAGTAATTTTTTAATTACTTTTAATCCCCTTCAGTTTATTAATTTCATAAATACCCCAAAAAAGTTTAAAAATTAACAAAAAACACCCCCACCCACCCATAGTTGTCAGATTCTGGCAACCATCATCAGTGGTAGCTGGAATCAGTCACAACAGCCTATAAACGATCGAAACTGGTCGGTAATTCACTGATCTGGCCTTTTCTGGCCAGATCCACAGTGGATCTAGCCGAAAAAGGCTAGATCTGGCCGTCGATTTGGCCTTTTCAAAGGCAAGATCAATGCACGTACGGCTAGATCTGATCAGTCTGCATCATAACACCAGATTCCGACGGTGGTGGCCGAAATCTGGCATTGTGGGTGGGTGGGGGTGTTTTTTGTCATTTTACACAAAATTTATATATTGGGATGTTTAGTTAAATTAGCAAACCTATGGGGTTTTTTGTTAATTTTTAAATTTTACCTCGTAATACTCACCCTATTTAACTATCCAATATTATTCCCAAAATCCTATGTAAAATAATAAAACAAACGGACCCTTAGTTTCATTATTTTTTCTAACTATATAATTAGAATACACGTGGAAGAGTTAACTTTTATTTGAAAATTGTCTTTTTTGGTCGTTAAACCCAAATTTTTTTATCAAGTACTCCCTTTATATTCAACTATATATACATATATGGTATAGCTAGCTAGCTACTCTTTGTTGGTTAATGAGAAAATTAAAAGCCAGAGAAGGTTGAAAAAAATGAAAAGAAACTAAATGTGTTTTAATTGGTTAATGAGAAAACGGAGAGAAAGTATTAATTAAAAAATATTAGGCTTTGATTTATTGTTTAATGGATGGGGTTAACAGATGATATCCTGGTCAAAATTATTTCTTCATCTAAACTTGGGGGATAAAAATATTGTTAAATAAAAGTGAAAATTTTAATTAAACCCTTTAGTTATTAACAGTAATTGATGCTGCTAATTATATTATCATTTAAAGAAATTTGGGAGTATTTTTTTTAAATTTATTTTTAATTCAAAATGACGTGATATACTCTTATTACTTATATAGATTACAAGGTTATTTAAACCCTCTTAAGTTTTTTAACTAAATCTATTCGGTATTGGCAATAATTATGAATCCCATGACGTCAGGATTGTTTGATTAGTTTTGAGCAAATGAGGCAAAGTAACCTTAATTCCCAACTTTGACTTCATCTCCAACAGCCCCCAACACGGCAACACCCATCCACCCACCCACTTAAAATCTATATCCAACAGGCCCCAGAAACTCATTAACCCCAACGTAACCCCCCGCGTGAGAATTAAAAAAATAATAATTAAATTATAAAAAATGAAGAAAAATAAATTAATAAATCTAAAAAAATATATAAATCTTAAATATTAGAAATAAGAAATCTGAATAAATATCTGAAAAAATTAAAGATAAAAAATCTAAAAACTAATAAAAACTTTTTTTTTTTAACTTTTTTTTTTTTTTTTAAAACAAATCTCAAAAAATGGTGGTCTTTGCCATCGTGGCTGACATTGGCCCGTAGCTCGATAGTAGAACTTGGAAAAATGTTTTTAGATTATAGCTCCCTTTTTTAAGGTTGTTTAAATAAGTTTTTGAAGTATTCATAATTTTTTTGAATCCTTAAATTTTTTATTTTGAATTCTTTTTCATTTTGTGATTTTAGATTAAGGGTTTATATTATTGAAGACTTTTTTTTTTAATTTTATTTATTTTTTTATTTAGAAATGAGTTGTTGACAAATTTTTTAGTAAAATAGTCAAGTTCAAGATATGATTCAGATAAATTGAAATTGTGTTTCGTCAAAAATCAATATTAGTCGACTCCCATATTTATGGGGGTCTGTGTGGTAGTGTCTAGAGTTTTTGAGCGTGTAATTAAATTTTTGAGTTTGAAGGGGTGTAAAATAATTAACCTTAATTATTATAAAAAATTAGGTACATTTATTCTTTTACCCTTTATCCAGTTAAAACTAGTTTGACTGGCGACTATTGGGGGTTCCGAGTAGTTACCAATATTTAAGGGGGTTTAACATAATCCCTCATATATATTGGGCATATGCTTAAATTCTAAATACTATTTTATGTAATTAATATTAATATCAAAGACAAAAATGATCTCTATTTGAGGTTTAATTTTATCATTGTTGTTATGTTATTAACTAGGATGTACTACAGTATGAACATGGAGATGAGTTCTTCCATTAACGAGGATCAGTACAATGATTGGCTAATTGACATTAAGGAAGACCGGGAACCTGATCTTTCAAAGTGTTATATTTATAGACATGGAAAAGAAAAAATCGAGATATGTAAAAGACATATGTGACCAAACAACTCGTGAGAAATTTGACGAAGTTTTCAACTTCATCAAAGACCGAGAGAAAACGATTCGAGAGAGCTATTTGGAGGCCTGTCAGCTTGAGAGTTGTGCGTATTGGAGATGATTCTACGTGATGCTAGTTTTATCATAGAGATCCTTATAAAATATTTTGAGAAAGATATTGAAGTGACATTTTGTTACGTATACCAGTGCAAAGATATGCTTTAAAGTCGGACTTGCTATTAATGGAAAATCAATTTCCATACTTTTTACGTGAGGGATTATACAAGTTAGTTGCCAGTAGCCCTTCCTTCATTGATATTTGTATTAAATTCTTCAGGTTTCGGAAGTTTGGTGGTAGTGTACGTGACAAAAAAAAAGTTTAAACATTTCACCGATTTGCAAAGAGCTATTCTAGTGGAAAAGTTCCCGGCATATGAGATTGATCATGAAGATGATGATGTTTGTATACCTTGTGCCACAAAGCTACATGAATCAGGATTGAAATTTAAACTTGCTCCTAGAAGGGAATGCCCACTTGTGATCAGATTTGAAGAAGGCGAGTTGACAATACCAGAATTAACCGTTAAACCACGAGACAGATACTAAATTTCGGAACATAATGGCTTTGGAGCAATGTTGCTATCCAAATCGAACTATCGTCTGTGATTATGTTTTACTACTAGGCTCTCTTATCGAAGACAAAAGGGATACACAGTTGCTTGTAGATAAGGAAATTATTTGGAATGAGATGGGCGACAGTGAGGCATTAGCAAATTTGTTTAACAAAATTGCAATTGAAATTCCTTTAGCTGAAAATCATTACAATAAAATTCATCAGGATCTCAGGGCATACCATGATGATCCATATAACTAAAACAGGGCAAAATTGAAAAGAATGTATTTTAGCGATATCTGGAGAGGTACAGCAACTGTTGTTGCTGCTGTTCGCTTGACACTCACTTTTATACAAACCATATCTTCTGTCATGCATTAATTTGAATTAGATGTATTCGATTAATTAATTACGTTGCATTTGAAGCTTTGTCGATTTAATAACTAATAATAAAGCCTTTCTATTTATATATTATTCCATTTCTGTGTATGTTTATATGCTTAATCATTTTCCATAATCATCTCTTTTAATTTTTAAACCACTATTATCCATTAAATCAAGAAAAATACTATACATACAAAGAGTTTATATAAAATCTTTCATACAAAGTGACGTGTCAGAATAGGATTAGATTAATTATATAAATAATCAACTTAAAAAAGGCACATTAAATGATAGTGAATGACATAACAATATTAGAGTACTGCCACATTACCTTTTATGTATAACTTTGTATAAACGTTTTGTATGTATAATATTATTCTTAAATCAATTAGTTCATTAAATCCATTTTTAATTGTTAACTCAATCTTAATTCGATAAGAAAAAGCTATTACCTTTGGTGAATCAATTGAAGAACAGGCTTCGATTAATTATTGCTAAATCTAATACAATTCTCTCATCCACCAAGAAAAATTTGACAAGGCTAAATCAATTTCAGTAGGTCTGACTGCCTTAATCTTAAGAATAACATATTTTGATTTGATAATAAAAATTAAAGGGAGGACGACTATTTTCCACCCAAAGTTTTGCGAAATGACACTTTTCCACCCTTCAAGTTTTAAAATGACACTTTCCCACCCACCGTTATGTTCCGTTAGAAAAATCCGTTTTTAAGAAGGGTAAGATGGTCAAGTTACATGAAGCTGTAAAAATCAAGGGTGCGTTTGGTTCCATATTTCTACCCTTATTCCCAATCCTATTCCCTAAATATTGTTTGACACATTATTTGAGAAATATTAATATATTTTTTGTAATTCTTTTAGTCTCATTAAGTTTATTAATTTCATAAGTACCCCCAGAAAAAAAAGTTTAAAAAGTAACAAAAACACCCCCTAAACCCATATTTGCCTGATTCATGCAACCACCGTCGGTGGTAGCTGAAATCTGTCACAACGGCCTACACTACGACCAGAAAAGGCCGGCAATTCACCGAACTGGCCGTTAACGACGACCATATCTTTGGAGATGGACTTTTGCGGCCATCGACAGCCATATCTGGCCGTAGATCTACCACGGATCTGGTCAGAAAAGGCCATATCGACATGTTATGACGCAGATCCAATCAGTCTGTGTTGTAATACAATTTTTTGGCCAGATTCCATTGGTGATGGTTGGAATCTGACACTACGGGTGGTGAAGGTGTTTTTGTCATTTTATAAAATTTTTATATATTAGGTGTTTAGTTAAATTAGTAAACCTATGAGGTTTTTTATAAATTTATAAATTTTACTCCATAATAGTCACTATTTAACTACCTAAATTATTATAAAAATTCTATCCAAGATAATAAACAAAGGACCCAAAATTAAAAAATTGATATCTCAATCAGTGTAACTTCGCCTGAGTGGTTGCCAGGCGCTCCACTAAAGTTGACCCCGAAAAAAAGGGTGAACGAAAAGACATTTGCCTTTTCTCACTGTTCTCTCTAACTAAAGCTTAAACAGTTAGGGTTGGCGACTAGCAACTGGGGACATGGATGATGACGAGTGGGGTCCCGATAAAGAGGAAGAAGGTGGCACCGTGGCCGCGGTAGAGGAGGGGAAACCCAAAGAAGTGAGAAGGCATTAGTAGATTCGTTCTATGGGACCGATCGTGGGTTGACGGAGACTAGCGAAACGAGCAGAAATTGTTGAGCTTATCACACAGCTTGAAGCTAAGAATTCGACTCCCACACTGACTGAGGCGTTAACTTTGCTTAACGACAAATGGATTCTTGCGTAAGTGTTTGTTTTGCTGTTTGGTTCGTGGGAAAATTATGGTGAAGGGATTGAATTTGGGAGTTTTTAAAATTGGGTATTTCTGTGGTTTGTTAGTACTTGGGCTAAGTTGAAACTTTGGTTAATTTAGGATGATATAATCACATAGCTTATTTTAGTTGAATTCCACTGCTTTGGAAATGAAAATATGAATGAAATTTTAATCCTTTTTGATAATTTGTTTGTTTATTGCTTATAGGCATATTTATCGCTATAAAATCAGTGATTTGTTAACAGTATATTTGGAGGGTTAGAGACTCTCAAGAACTTGGAGTTGTAAAATTGAGATAAAAATTTTGGATGTTCCACTGGTGATCTTATATTCTGTCACGAATATGCTTTGTAACTTCAAAATTGTTATGCTATTAATTGTAATCAACACCAAAGTCCAAAATTGATATTTCTAAATTGTTGACTCTGCTTTTATATAATCAATTCTACTTTAGTAGTATATATTAGGTGGCTGCAGAACTCTCCAAGAAACTGTGTTAATTCTGATGGCAAAAATTGGTTTAAATTTGTGCCCGGCAAGAGGTTGTAGATTTTCTTGAGTTGGAACAGAGATGCAGTTGTAGCACCAATAGATGGATTTACGCCTTTCATATTGTAGTCTAGTTGATATTGAGTTTAAATTTATGTGTGGCAGTGCAAGTATACATCCTTTTCCTGTTTGTTCCCCTTATTGTCAAGGGGTTCATTGCAATTGGCGAGAGTGGAGGTATCTCAGACAATTGACTCATTAATTGGTGAGGGCTCATATGGAAGAGTGTATTTCAGTGTTGTGAGAAGTGGGCAGCTGCAGCCATCAAGAAATTAGATTCCAGTAAGCAACCAGACCTGGAATTTCTAGCACAGGTTTGGCTTATTATTGTGCATTATCTTCAGTTCTTCTATTGTGTTGCAATAAGTATTTTGTTGAATTTAATAGTTCACACATGATTTTACAGGTTTCCATGGTATCAAGACTTAAACAAGAAAATGTTGTTGAGCTTGTTGGTTATTGCATTGATGGCCCTCTACGTGTCCTTGTCTATTAGCGTACTTCAAAAGGATCTCTTCATGCCATTCTTCATGGTAAGTGGTGTCATATTATTTCTATGTTTTCAACTCTTAGCTACCATACCAATAAAGATCATTATGTGGGTTGACTTTATAAATCATGTAAGGTGTTTCTAGCTGAGGGGTGATCATTTATATTTGAGAATTCTGGTATTCTTTGCATATCATAATTGGTTTAATTATAAAGCTTTGTAATTGATGGTTGTGGAAGCCTAGTGTCAAACATACTCGAGAGATGAATAGAAGATGATATTCAATTTTCAAAATCAAAAGGTTACCCTCATTCCTCCTGTGCTAATTAATATGCCATTTGCAGCATCTTCAATACCGCCCTGACAATGATTTCATCTCTCCTATCACTGCCGCGTGGACAGCAAACCCTTGTGACATGGGTATGAACTTCATCTTTGTACTTTTCTACCACTAACTCGTTTTGGAACATACATATTTTTTCTATTTTGTTACTCTCTATATTGATAGCTAGCAAATTCATATATGTGTAAGCTTTATTCAAGCTGATTTTTATGCAATCTGGATTGTTTTAGGCAACTCCAAAGCTCAGCGAAGATAAGGTGAAGCAATTGCGTTGATGCTAAGTTAAATGGAGAATACCCTCCTAAGACAGTTGCAAAGGTACTGAAGATGGTAATTTCGGTTGAAAATAATGCATCAAATTCAAGCGTTCTTGGTGGAAGAGCAAAAGATTGTGAAGAAGGTTTTGAAGATCTAGAAGGCAAAGGAAAAGAAAGCTTCAAGGAGCTAGAAAGTGGGAGGATGAAAGCAGAACTTTTTGGATTTTAAGAAATGAATGAGAAATTGGAAAAGTTGTTTTCTTTGTATTGAATTCTCTATTTTTATTGGGTTTGAATTGACAAAATTTCTTATATATATATGCACTGTAATTTTACAATCTGGATTCTTATTTAGGCAAATTGGTAATGCTAATACTTCGTTTTATTTGGGGTTAAATTGACAAAATTTAAATATAAGTAGGGTTGCAGCAACTACAAGGACAAATTATCTAGGACAAATTGATAATTTTAAAAATCTAAGGTGATTTAAGACATTATATTTAATAAAAAAAACTAGACGGATAAATTAGTAGGCATCAATAATTTCATATTTAAAGAGGGTATGGTGGTAATTAACTATGTTGACATGACATAAAATAATAAAAGAATAAGAAGTCAAATAATAAAGGGTATTTTCGTCTTTACAATCAAACAGTAACGAGTGCGTTTGGTTTATTATTTTGGATAGGATTTTGGGAATAATATTGGGTAGTTAGATGGGGGAGTATTACGAGGTAAAATTTAAAAATTTATGAAAAAGCCCTTAGGTTTGCTAATTTAAATAAACACCCTAATATATAAAATGACAAAAACACCCCCACCACCTGCAGTGCCAGATTCCAGCCACCAACGTCGGAATCTGACCGAAAAATTTCGTTACGACACAGACCGGTCGGATATGTGTTGTAACGCGTCACTATGGCCTTTTCTGGCCAGATCCAGCACAGATCTGGTCGGAAAAGGCCAGATTTATGGCTAAATATTGCCATCAATGGCCGGAAAACGTCAAAAGAAGTCCATTTTTGGCCGTCGTTTTCGGTCAACGACAGCCAAGATGGATCTGGCTGGAAAAGGCCAGATCAGTGAACTTTCAGCCATTTCTGGTCGGTAGGTAGGCTATTGTACAGATTCCGGCTACCACCGACGGTGATTGCCGAAATCTGGCAAGTATAGGTTGATGGGGGTGTTTTTGTTAATTTTTAAACTTTTTTTCTGGGGGTATTTAATGAAATTAATAAGCTTAAGGGGTTTAAAAGTAATTAAAAAATATAGTAATATCTCTGAAATAATGTGTCAAACAATATTTGGGAAATAGGATTGGGAATATGGATATAAATACTAAACCAAATGCACCCAACAAATTTTTCTAACGGAGCATAACGGTGGGTGGGAAAGTGTCATTTTAAAACTTAACGGATGGGAAAGTGTTGTTTCACCAAACCTTGGGTGGGAAAATGTGGTTCTCCCAAAATTAAATTAAAGATATTTTATATAAAATATAGGATCTAATCCAGGTTTCAGGAATCAGGATTACCGTAGGATAAGTTAAAAGCTTATGAACATAATTAAAAAATTAATGCTAAAAGTTGGTGCAAACACCATCCTATTAAACATATTTTATAGTTTTCTCTTAAATATAATATATATAATTTTTTTTTTTTTAAATCTTGGGTTAACAATTGTTAATTAACAGTAATGCTAGGCTTACCGACCCAGCGACCGATTTGACATACTGACTCTGAGTTAAATTTTGAGATTTGGGTTGTTGGGTAGTGAGTCGGTATATAAAAATCGGTATTTGGGTCGGTAAATATAGTATTACTGGTTAATTAAATAAGCAACATGTGAACGTCACAACATGTCCACAACACGGGAATCCTAACGTAATTGTTCCCTTATTTAATTCCTTTCGAGAAGGCAGATGGATCAAATTAGCAAATCCCAAATTGGCTCTTAATCTGCATCCCCCAAATGAAACTTGTGTTTAAGATTGCTTAAATAAATTCAATTTTAAGGAGGAACATATATATATATATATTTTCTAATTAATAATTTATAATTAGAAGTCAATTTCACATAACTATTCTATAATATACATTTCTTTTCTATATACTAAAGATTTCATTCATGATGTGACAGTGAAATCTTATTTCATTTCAACGTTATAACATGACAATAGTGATTGACTTTTTAATCTCGTTTTTCTAATTTTTGGATTGAAATACATTACAATCTAAGATTAATGAGAATCACTACCCCATTCTAATCCTAATTTTCATTCATTTCCACAAATCAAACAAGGTCTAATACCCTCAATTTTGAATAAATTGAAAGAATATAAATCTTAAAAAAACAGAAAAAAGAAATCATAATGATAAAAGGTGCTGCCAATGGGAGTGTGTTCCACAACGGTAAACAATTTTATTATAGGGTAACGTTATATAATTGTTCAAGCTTTTAAAACTCGGTACGGCCTCGCCGGTTGAACCGGTGATCAAACTGGGTTGGTTCATGTAAAAAAAATCAAATTTATTAATTGACCCGCTTTAGACTGCGGTTGAATCAGTTTTTTGTGACAAACCGCTAGTCCAACCGATTCAATCCGACGGGTGAACCGTATTTTTATTATTTTTTTATGTCATGTTAACGTCAGAATGATATCATCACACTAATGTCAGTATAATGACATCACTATTCAACTCGGTGATTAAACCGGTTCGACCGATCAACCTGATAACCTGATCGGGTCACTCTCCGATCGGGTTTTAAAACTTTGTAATTGTTCTTTCTCACCAACATTTAAGTATTATATGACATCTTGTACGGTAAGATGACGCAATAACTCTAGCGTAGTCTCCACCGAAATACTACACAAATTGCGCCGTCGTTCAATTTATCCAAGTATTACGCATATTTTTTGCCATATATGCGATGGATTACTAGAGCTAGTTGACCACGTTAGACGACATAAATTTACATTGTATTCTGATTCCGAAAAACGATGCAACATATTGCGTCGTCTCGTCTATACAACAACCAATGTTATACGACAAAATTATGCCACATTATTTCGCATCGTTAAAAAATGAATACGACAAAATATTGTCCAAAACCGACAACCTTGTGGCGTCGTTTTAGATGCTTATTCCAGTAGTGTTAATCATTTAGCCTAATCATCTCTTTGGTGTTTAAACCACTGTTATCCATTAAATCAATCAATCATTAATTTCAATAAAATTCATTTTTTGTTGTTAAATCAATCATAATTAAATAAGAAAAAAAACTATTGTTGTGAAGTCCCGCGCGCGCGCGCGTGTGTGTGTGTGTGTGTGTGTGTGTGTGTGCGTGCGCGTGTGTGTGTGTGTGTGTGTGTGTGTGTGTGTGTGTGTGTGTGTGGGGTTATAGGTTTTAACCCAACATGACGCGTTTTGGGCCTGAAGCCTAGAAACAAAACCATGAGGCCCTATAATGCAAAAGCGAACAATATCATGTTGGTCCATTTATAACACGTTATCAACACGATCGCGATGAAAGGATGTGTTGTGAAGTTCTATATCGCTCCGTATGAGAAGGGGTGCATATATATATGGGGCTATTGGCCTTAACCCAACATGACATGTTTTGGGCCTGAAGCCCAGAAACAAAACCGTGAGGCCCGGTAGTGTCAAAACTGACAATATCATATTAGGTTATTTATAACATGTTATCAATACGATCGCGATGGGAGATGTGTGTTGTGAAGTCCCATATCGCTCCGTGTGAGATGGGGTGCATGTATATATAGGGTTATAGGCTTTAACCCAACATGACACTTTTTGGGCTTGAAGCCCAAAAACAAAACCATGAGGCCCTTTAGTGTCAAAAGAGACAATATCATGTTGGACCATTTATAAAACTATTAACTTTGTGAAAGCAAGAGAATACTGTCAAAGAAGAGATTGCTTTTAATTACTGCTAAATCTAATACAATTCTCTAATCCACTAAGAAAATTTTTTCAAGGCTAAACCAGTTTCAGTAGGTCTTACTGCGTTAATAAAATAAAATAAAAGATAATTCATATAAAATATTTGATCTAGACTAGGTTTAAGTATTGGATACTATATGTGTTCTTAACCGTAGGATAAGTTAATTAAAAGCCTAAGAACTTTGAAAAATAATTATTAAAAAATCAATGCTAAAGTCGGTGCAGACACCCCCCTGTTACACTTTTTTAATTAAACATATTCTAAAGTTGGTCTTAAACATTACATTTTAAAATCTTGGGTTAACAATTGTAAATTCTACAGGCAACTTGTGGATAAGGAGAAGAGGAAGCACGTCCCAGCATGCATGTACAGCTAGAAAACAGGGATTAATTTTTAAATTTAATGCCGCTATTTAGGGGTGTTTGTCTGAGTTTATGAAAATCAGCTAATTTTGCTTATAAGCTAAACTTGCCTATAGGCTAATTTTGCTTATAATCTAAAATTAGTTTATAAGCATTTAAAATTTTAAGCAATTACGTGTTTAGTTAAAATACTTATAAGTGACTGATAAATAATTAACGTGCTTGGTAAAATGTGACTTATAAGTACATTTTATTATAAAATGACTAAAAAAGGTATTTTATTAAACAAGAGTATATTATAGAATTTTAAAATTAAATAAGGATAATGTAGTAATATATTTGAGCAAACTAGCTTATAAACAGAATGGTTATTAAAAAAATATAATAATAACATCTTATTTAGATTACTTTTTATTGGAGAATCTAGATTAACTAATTACGAGGAATCTTGATTTACACGACAATGAGTGTTTAAAATTTACAATGAGTGTTTAAAATTTCCATTGTTATTGGATGGATCAATGTAGGAGGCTCTTTTTAATCAAATATTTTAGAAATAGAAGACAAGTTTACTTAACTATTATGTGAGGGGACGTTTATTTAATAATATAATATGTTAATTAAAATGAGTATGTTAAAATGCCCCATCAGTGACTCAAGTAGATGACAAATCCTGAAGAATAGCAACAAAGTTCCGTAATTATATAATTCAATTACAAGTCCTGACAAATCTGAATATACAATTTTATTTGGAAGTTAGGCTATCCAATTTCTTGGATTGCATTATACACAATAACACAATGACGTATTTAAATTGATAAATCAATAATAAAATTTTGTAGGGTCAATATAAATTTAAATTGGGTTAAAATTATAAAATATAAAATCTTTTTTTTTTTTTTTTTCCAGTTTGAGTGAGTTTAATATGAATTTTTTGGGTTAAAATTTTAAATATTATAAATAATTTTTTTTTTTAAAGTTTGAGTGAGTTCAATTAAACACATATATTATAGTGTGGTTA